GTGAGCCACCAAAAAAAAAAAAAAAAGAAAGAAAGAAAGAAAGAAAGTAGAAAAATATTAACCTACCAACTTTAAAATGAACTAAAATGAGAGGAGATGAAATGCACAAAGAGCAAGAAAGCTTCTCTAATAACACAGGCAAAAAATAATAAGGGCTTGAAGGTGGCTGAGGAAAATAATTAGTCTGGAGCTTAGAAGGGAAATAACTTGGCCAAAGGCTACAAATAATTGGGATAAACTCTACAAGTCTTGGTAAGCAACTGGATTCAGGCAAAAGAGGGTGAATAGTAGATCCAAGACTGAAAACGATGTTTCAGGCCAAAGTTACTCCATTCTTTGGATCTAAAATTTTGAAATGTATTTGAGTCACTTGCCCTATACTTTTGACCTACATTCTTTCCTTTTTTTAATTAGCATTTTAAATTTTGAAATATAATGTACTTAGAGGGGGGCAAATAATTTTAAAGCTTACATGTGTGTAATCATATTTTCTTGCTCTTTTCTAGAGTTGCACAACTTCAACATGCATTTTAACAATATAGTTTAATTTTGCCAGTTTTAAAACTTTATATGAATGCAACATACTGTATGCACTATTTTTGTCTCTCTTGTCTTTCTAAATATGCGGTATATTATACCCATGTTATTAATCATGTCTTTGGTCATTTTTATTGCTAAGTAATACTTAACTATATGAATATATCAGTGTCCATTTTACTGTCGGTTGGCATTTTGATTGCTTCCAGTTTGGAACTTTACAGACAACATTGCCATGAATAGTCTTCCATATGTCTTATTACACACATTTCTTTGTTCTTTGGCCACCCCACAATTGGACACTAGAGCAGCAGTAGTCTATTTCTACTTTTCAATCACATAACAAGCAGACCCATTCATGGCCAAAGTTCAGCCCTCCCCCACCCCATGTGGCCCTAAGTATCAGTTGACACAGCAATGCTGATGCAACAGTCCTGGAGGACATTTGGATGGCACGCTATCTTGTCCAGCTTGTATACGATTGCAGAGGTACCAATTACCTCTTACAGTGGATTTCCACTGGCCCACCCAAACTTATGTCTTAGTGGGTCTGATATAACCAAGCTCATGATCAGTAGCTCTGGCCACATGGTCAGACACACTCTCTTTACAGTGTTCAGCAACAATGTCGTCAATGTAGGTGGTATGACTCACTCCAGAACCCTAGAGGATTACATTACAGTTCTCCTATTGGGGCTTGCCATAAACTCCACACCACAGGTAAACTTGGTACTGCAGGGCCTGCTGGGCCATATGACCCAAGTGGCAGGGATGCTTGCAGTAAAGGCTGGACCTGCTGCTGAGCCTTTCCTACTCCAGGCCTACTCAAACCTGGCAGTTTTCATGCCACTCAGTAAATGGGCAGGAACAGCACTACCAGTGTGGAATATGCTGCTTCTAGAACCTGAAGAAGCTTCCTGGGTACTGTGCTTCCTTCTTAGGGCTTTTCCTGTTATATAGTTTTTTTTTACCTATGACTTTTTGAAAGGATTTCCATCAGCCTCCTAATAATACATTCTTATTATTGTTATTATTTATTTTTTTATTTTGGTACCTGGCCAGGACAGAATTTCGAATCCTTGACCTGGGCGTTACCAACACCATGCTCTAACCAACTCAGCTAACTGGCTAGCCCTTCTTATTTTTTTATTGATGCATAACTATTGTATATATTTATGGGGCACAGTGAGACTTTCAAAGCATGCAATTGCCAGAACATTCAAAACTCCTGTTCTTGCTAATTTGAAATATGCAATATATTAGTGTTCACCATGGTCCTCTCACTAAGTGTTGGAACACTGGAGCTAATTCCTCCTATCTACCTGTAACTTTGTACCCATGGACCAGCCTCTCACCATCCTCACCTTCTCCCTATCGCTCCCAGCCTCTGGCAACCACGAGTCTACTCTTCTTCGTGATCATCCTTTTTAGAATCTGCGAAGGACTCAGATAATGCGATATTTGTTTTTCTGTGCCCGGCTTACTTCACTTAACACAATGACCTTCAGTTCCAATCATGTTGCTACAAATGACAGAATTTCATTCTTTATGGTGGAATGGTATTCCATTGTAAACATAACACATTTTCTTTATCCATTTATTTGTTGATGGATATCTTGGCTATTGTGATTAGTACTGCAGTAAACATGGGTGTGCAGTTATTTCCATTCTTGATTGCTTTGTTTTGTGTAAATTATGCAATACCCTTATGTCTGTGTTTTAGTCTGTTTTCTGTTGCTATAACAGAAACACCTGAGACTTGGTAATTTATAAAGGAAAGAGGTTTATTTGGCTTACAATTCTGGGACAGCTGCATCTGGCACGGGCCTCAGGCTGCTTCTACTCATGGCGGAAAGTGGCAGGAAGCCGGCGGGTACAAGCAGATCACATGGTGAGAGGAAGCAAGAGAGAGAAGCAAGAGAGAGAGACAGAAGGTGCCAGGGTCTTTTTAAGCAACGAGAACTCACTAATTAATCATGGGATCCGCTCCCATGACTCAATCAGTTTCCAACACTGCCACATTGGAGATCAAATTTCCACATGAGTTTTGGAGGGGACAACACATCTGAACTCCATCATTCTGCCCTTGGACCCCCAAAACTCATGTTCCCCTCACATACAAAATACAATCATTCCATCCCAACAGTCCCAAAAGTCTTAGCTTGTTGCAGCACCAACTTAAAAGTCCAAAGTCCAAAGTCTCATCTGAGACCAAAAGCAAAAGTCCTTCCAGCTGTGAACCTGTAAAAGTCAAAACCACATTTATCTACTGCCAAGATACAATGGTGGAACAGGCATTGGGTATACATTCCCATTCCAAAAGGGAGGAATAGGCCAAAAGAAAGGAAAAACAGGCCCCAAACAAGTCCGAAACCCAGCAGGTTTAGCAAATTCAAGTTTAGCTTTCTAGTGCCAGAGGCAGGGCTCAGTCACCCTCAACACCACTTCCAGTGCCACACCACACCAAAATGGCTCCAGCTGGTGGCCACGGATAAGAACTCAGAGACATCTCTCCCACCTCGCAGACTGGGCTGCCTGCTTTCCTGCCACTTCCTTTACATGGACCATTCAGGAATCTGCCTGTGAACTGAAAGTCACCCATAATTTTCTCATATATACTGCTAATTGCCACACTCTCTTCTCGGTCCCTGCCTGCCCTCCCTGCCCTCTGTGTGTGGTCTCCAGGCACGCAGGTATCCCCCAGGGTCTGTAAGTACTAAAACTCAAACTTTCACACAGTGCCTGCATTCTGACCTCTGACAGGAGTGATCCCCTGCTGGTGCTCTTTTGTCCAAGTCTCTGTGGCGGCTGGGGACAGTAGCTACCAGCTAAGTTGATAGAGTTTCATTTAACACATTAATGCAGGTCAATGAAATGAACAAAGATTTAGCTAGCAAATTTGATAAAAAATATACCTTGAAAAATCTAACATGTCCCCCACTGGTCTTTTACCCCCAGCTTTACCAAGGCATAATTGACATACTACAAACTGCACATATTTAAAGTATACAATTTGATGAGTTTGACATATACATATGCCTGAGAAACCATCAACACGATCAAGATAACGAACATATCCATCAGCTCCAAAAGCTTCCTCCTGCCGCTTTGTAATTCCCCCCCCAAACCCCTCCCTCCAGGCAATCACTGTTCTGTGTCCATCTCTATAGATTAGCATTTTATGTCGATGGAATAATAACGTATTCATTCTTTTTGATCTGGTGTCTTTCATCAAGTATAATTATCTTGAGATTCACCTGTATTATGTGTGTATCAGCAGTTCATTCCTTTTTATTACTGCGTAGTTATCACATTCTGGGAATATATCTCAATTTGTTTACCAAAAATTTTGTTTTATAATTTAGCCTTCTTCAATTAATTTGGGCTCTCCTATAACAAGGCTTCCATGGTCGTGTGTATCAGCAGTTCATTCCTTTTTATTACTGCGTAGTTATCACATTCTGGGAATATATCTCAATTTGTTTACCAAAACCTTTTGTTTTATAATTTAGCCTTCTTCAATTAATTTGGGCTCTCCTATAACAAGGCTTCCATGAAATCTCCTGTCACTGGTAAAATTGATCAGATCCCACATCTGAAGCCACAAAGCTGAGGGCAGATCTGGGATGGATGGAATCTCCTGCTGAGGGAAGGGAGGCCTCTGGGAGGTCGGTTTATCATTTCTCTGGACACCATCTTCCAATCAAAACAGCGTGGAATGGGGAATGTGTCATTTTAGCTGTAAAACAATGCGCATGAAAAATATCTTGATTAATCACGATTAAACTAAAGGAAAGACCTATTTCTTTCTCCCCAACCCCAACCTCTGTGTCATTTCAGTCCTCTAAGGAAGGCTGTGCAGCATCAGTGAAGGTTGCCATCGACACTGGGTACCGACACATTGACGGGGCCTACTTCTACAGAAATGAGCATGAAGTGGGAGACGCCATCCGAGAGAAGATAGCAGAAGGAAAGGTGCGGAGGGAGGACATCTTCTACTGTGGAAAAGTGAGACATCACCTTCGCCCTTTATCTCCTTACATTCATGCTGCATCTAGTGCCACTTTTCTTTGCTAAAGTATGTGGGACTCACCAAGAGCAGGAGGAGACCTCTCCCTCCCCCTTGTCAACTGCCATATTCCCCACTGTAGCCGAGAACTTAGGGACTAATTAGTCCCCTGAAGGTTAGAGATATTTATCTCTATTTATTTAGAGATACATTTATAGATAGCAAAAACTATAAATCCAAGCAAAGCAAAGCAAACACAAATGTCAGGATAGTGTGGACTGTGCATAAGCGGATGGCCTACAGAGGGCCTCCTGGGTGGGTAAGGTTCTATTTCCTGGCCTCAGTTGGGGGGAAGAGGAGGTCAGGTGTTTATTTTGTTATTAATCGTCCATCTGTGTGCGTGAGTGTGTGTATATGTGTGCGTAATTGCACTCTTGTGAGTACACTGTATTTAATAATAACAGTTTGGGTTTGTTTGCTTTTTTCAAAGGTAATCTAAGATGACACCCAAATCATGCAAAATAGAATTTTCAGCATTCTTAGATTATCGGGTTATTCATTAGTTTGGGAGAAGTGATAGTAAGCAAAGTAGCATTTTGAGTAGAGAAAGAGGGTTAAAAAATAAGTATTTGAGTAAGTGTAATTAACTCGGAATTGGGATCAATTTTTGAAACCAATGAATTTTGTTTAATAAAAGCAAACAAACATAAATAAAAAAACAAGTTCATAAGGTCACACATCCAAAAGCTAGCTGTGTGGGCTTCTTGGGCCTTTAGCAAGACTTTAGCTTAACATCCTAGAGAGTCATTTATCATGATGGTGGGTGCTAAAGTTAGCATATAAGAAGAAAATGGTCAAAACTGCCTTTAAAATCCTTTAAATATGGTTTTTTTTTTTTTTGGTGGCCAGTACAGGGATTGAACCCTGAACCTTAGTGTTACCAGCACCATGCTCTGACCAACTGAGCTAACCAGCCAGCCCTAAATCCTTTAAGTTGCCAAAAAGTACAGTTGCATATACAACCTGATACTTATACATATATAATGTCAATAATGTGCTGTATGTAATAAAGCACACATATGCAAAATGTGACAGTATTTACTTAAGTCATCAGAAAGAGTGCATAGCTGAGCTAACGTAACGTGCAGGTGCTCACGCCCCAGCAGGGTCAGTTTTCATTGCCATTACCCAAGAGGCAGTGTGGCATGGTGGTGAAGTGTACAGACTCTGGTGCTAGATTGCCAGGTCACAGTCACAGATCTGTCCCTTCTAGCTGTTGAGTTACTTAGTGTTTCCAGAACTCAGTTTTCCTCTCCGTTAAAATAGGGATAATAATGTCAACTACTTCATAAAGTTGTTATGAGTTAACATTTACAAAGCACTTAAACAGTACACAGCACAAAGTTAATACTGTATGTGTTCATTGAATAATAGTAAATTAAAATATAAAACAATTTTCCCTTAGAAGGGGAGGCAGCAATAACATCAAAGGGGCCCAGAGTAACAAGAGCTACAAAAAAATACACATTTTTTTTCACTACCTTCTCCACATTCCATTTTCTATTCTCTTTTCTTGCTTTTAGGGCAATGAAAAAAACATTGCCCAAAGGAGGAAAGAATCAGATTTTACCAATTTTGTTTGCACTTTCTTGTAACAAAAAGGGTGCAAAAATTCACAACTTTTATTTTTTCCAAAAAAAGTCTTTGAGCAAAATTGATGCTCTGAGAAGATATACTAAGTTATCCCATGGGTCTGAGGACCCCTTGGCATCCTATGTTTTACCCACCTAAGGGGACACACCCTTCGGTGTGACAAACCAAGCCTTAATCTTTCATTGTGTAACTCTTCAGAGATCAAGGAGATACTTAGTAGGAACTGCAGAAACTCAGACCCTGGGGTCTCAGTAGAACCAAATGAGAACAAAAGAGAGCAGTAAAAGGGAATGTCAATCTATGTAATAATTTAACGTTTCACTAGGCTTCTGCACCACCTGTCACAATGCAAAGGGTCCACTGAAGCCATGCACATAACTATATTCCTTGCTCATTTTACACACACGTTTTATAGAGAGGCATGAAAATAAAGTGCCAGGCTAGGTCAGAACATCTAGCTAGATGCATGTTCCCTAGTTGCACAATGAGGAAAAGTGAAGATTTTAAGGGAAACTTAGGAAATTAGCATGGGGTGGGGCCAGGGGAGAGGAAGACTTTGTCACCAAATTAGGTACTCTGTGTAGATCTTTAAGTCTCTTGTACATACTATATTTGAATAAAGTTATACTCTGGGTGTCAAGAGTTTCATCCACTCATATTTATTTGTTTGTTTGTTTGTTTGTTTGCGGCTGACAGGTACAAGGATCCGAACCCTTGACCTTGTGTTATAATACTGCGCTCTAAACTCATCCTGTATTTAGATGACACTACAGCATAAATATATTTTTGTGAAATGAAATGAGTGAATAAAATGTGTATGAATGCTTTGTAATGTTTGTTTGTTTGCGGCTGACAGGTACAAGGATCCGAACCCTTGACCTTGTGTTATAATACTGCGCTCTAAACTCACCCTGTATTTAGATGACACTGCAGCATAAATATATTTTTGTGAAATGAAATGAGTGAATAAAATGTGTATGAATGCTTTGTAAGGAATATAGGGCTGCTTTATTGTAAAAATAGTGTGGACATTAGTTAACCATCCCTCTTTGATTCTTTCAGCTGTGGGTTACAAATCTTGTCCCAGAGAGGGTCCGCCCAACTCTGGAAAGGACACTCAAGACCCTCAAACTAGATTACGTGGATCTTTACATCATTGAAATGCCCATGGCCTTTAAGGTGAGTTCAGATGCCTAAAGTTAGGCCTCTGCACCCTGGCGACTGTGAGCCAATAGCTATGTGCACGAAGCCTGTTCATTAATTAGCACCACAGAATATTATGGTGTTTTGTTACTATAGAGCAGAGAATACTGACCTAGCCTGACAAATGCCAAAAAAAAAATTTTTTTTGAGCAGACTCAGGCCTGGATCCCAAATTTCTGGATTCTTAATTGAACGCTGTTTCTATTATACCCTGTTTTTCAGATATAGTTTAAACTCTCTCCATCAAACCACATGTAGTACCCTAACTGTAGTCTACATTTTAGTTGCCCAGCCTCCAGATACAACTGTTTTACTACTCACACAGTCTTAAAAATGTCCCTGCACAACATAATGCAAACTAATATACACACAAGTACAAACATAACTTCTACCACCTCCAAAGGGAGATAATCCAAAGAATACTCAGATTTTAGGAGCCAACTTCAAGGCGAGGGTATCTAGATGATATCTGTTCCCGTAATTCGAATGCATTTGGGAGCTGGCTTCACAGTTGCTTTGGTAATCAGAGGCTTTTGTTAGTCAGGTAAGAATTTCGTGGACAAGACAATATCCCTTAAAAGTTTGATAGGCTTTCAGTAAATTCACATTCAGTCAGTTTCATGAATGATAATTAAAACTAGAAATCTTACAGGGTCACTGGCCTGTGGGTTTCTGCCTCTTAATATAGAGCCTCCTTGCTCTGCCCGTCCGTCTAGTCCTTGGTTTAATGACCTCCATTTTGGTCTCTGGCTTGAAATAATACAAAACAGGGAGGCAGAGATAACGAGTTCGTTGCACCAGTCTGCATCCCACTGGATAGCGCATGTTTGACAGGCGGTACATTCATGGCCTACGATCTTGCCTTTACAGGATCCTTGAGAACCATTGTTCTCCCAAGGCTCAAATGCAAAGCAAGTTCTCCATGCAGCAGCTACTCTAGCAGGTTCACTTGCACCAGTTACTCTAACACCTCAGCTCACTGCATCTTGGACTATAGTTTCTACCACTTGCGCAAGTCTGGAGAGGCAGAACACTCACAACAAGTTAAGTGAAGCAAGGGATAACGGAAACCTAGGATTCATGGTAAGCTGGTCCCCCAAGGCTTGGGGAAGTTGCCAGAGTGGATGGAGTCTCATCTGTGCATGCCCATTGCATCACAGCTGAAGGACTCCAAAAGCAGTCTATTCTAGGCATCACATGAGTCGCTAGGCTAAAGCACTGTAAGACATCCTGTTCTACAAAGGACAGGAAAAGAGCCTGAGCATTTCTGATCAGTTCCTCCTTATGTCAGGGTGTTGTATTCCCAGCACATTCAACAGTTATTTTTGAGAACTAAAAATGAGAAAGAGGGAAGAGTTGGGTTAGCCAAGGTCATCCATGGACTTGTCCTGTACTTTTATTTTCTACTAGTTTTCTTATCTTCCTGCCTTTTCTAACTCTGCAAGGCTCAGATCTGATCTTTTGCAGTCATCTTGGATTGCATCCAGAAGCAGAAAGAACCCATTTTAGTAAAGCATCATCTTATCTCTCATCTTATAAGCCCAGTAGCCACAAACACATTTATCTTTCCTGCAGGACCTGACCAAAAGCTGCAAAAATGGCCAACAAACCCAGTGTTTTTCTACTAATACCCTAAAGCTCCAGCCTTAGTAAGCCCATTGTCTGAGTTTCAAGACACAGCAAGGCAACAATTTAACCAGATGCCATACTGTCCCTAGCAGGGATGGCCAATTCTCAGATGAAGGTCATCTGAGGGAAGATCCTCAATGTTCCCAATCCCACGCTGACTGAGCCAATTCTGCATTTTAAGTTCCATTACCCACAATACCCAAACACCTCTGCATTAATCAGGACTTTTGTTATAAATGGCAAAAATCCAATTCAAATTGAGTTTAGCAAAAAAAAAAAAAAAGGAATTAAGAATTCTAAATGGTATCTAATTTAGGCACAACTGAATCCTGAAGTTCACATTGTGTGTCTGTACTCTGGCCCTTTATCTCCACGTTCTGGTTGGCTTCAGTCTCAAAAATCTGCCTGTACGATGGCAGAATGACTGTTGACATGCCAAGCCTACAGTGTCAATACAACTTGAGCATTCAGAGAGAGAAGAAATATTAATATTAAACCTCATGGAGAAATATTGATTAGCTTTGCTTGGGTCATATACCTATTGCTGACTAATCTTTGGTCTCTATAGCCAAAAGCGAGATTGGGGAGCTGAGTCAGTCCACCCAAACAGCACTGTTACGCTTCCCTCTGTGTAACCGAGACAGAAAAAAGAGAAAGAAAGAATTCACTCAAGGTAACATGAATGAGGCCTGGAGGGACTGCCGCCCATCCGGGGAGCAGCAGCCCCAATTCAAAATCAGCCTTTCTTTTTATTGACAAGACAAGGAAATTTCACAAGAAAAATCAGTTGATTCAATCATCAAAGAAGGACATAAAAGCAGGCAGTGTAAAACTAGTGACAGCAGTAAATTAACAATGTGACATTCCAGAATGTAATTTGTAAAAAGCTAGGTTAATTCACCAACAAACAGCTTGTCCTTAGTAAACATTTTCTTTTCCACATACTTCCTACAGTGATTTCCTTAGCATATTTAAACAGCATTCAAGCAGTTTCCTTAACATATCTTAAGAACAATCAGTAGGTTAAATAGTCAATAGTCATTCAAGCCAGAATCAAACCAGCAACCTAAAAAACAGTCAAAGTATGCAATCCCATCCCTAAACAGTGATTAGAATTGATTAGATGGCTTTTGCCAAACTTATCTGTGGACTTTCGTCCCCTACTCAAGAGCCCTTTGGCTCATTCATGCATTATCTAAAAATCCTACTCTAAGATCAAAAGAGAATCAAGATTTCTAACCCACTACACAGCGTGAAATGAGTTCCTCCAGAGAAGACGTCATAGGGATGGTAGAAAACAAAAATAACAGATTTCCACTGTACTCAGTAATTAGATATCACGTAGTTTGAATCCCATCTCTGTCACATATGAGCCAGACAATTGGTCATTTATACCTAATCTCTTTCCCACATCACCTAATCATGGTATACTGGAAAGAATATGGACTTTTGAGTTGCACAGAAAGGGTTTATGTTCAGCTTCATTACTTACTAGAATCATTGCTTTGATCTTTCTGAACTTGAATTCCATCATCCGTAAAATGGAGGCAATAAAAACTTTCAAAGTCCGTCAGAAATGAGAACACACGCTGGGTCCTGTGATGCGAGATTCACACTCTTTCTCCTACACTATATCTCCTCTTCTGCCTCATCTTCCCAAGCCCAGCAATCCCAGCACCTTGTGGACTGTGGTGATTTCTTGGTTTCAGGCTCTTAGGTATTATTACCTCAGCCTTCATCCTTACTTAGTTAATGTTGACTCTTGTTCAAATGGTGGATTTCTAATCTGAGTCTTAGAAATTTGGAGAGAACCTGTATTTAAAAGTAAGAAAATCAAATTTACTTCTGGGCCGGTTAGCTCGGTTGGTTAGAGCATGGTGCTGATAACGCCAAGGTCTGGGGTTCGATCCCAGTACCAGCCAGCCAAAAAGAAAAAATTACTTCTCTGGCTGACAAATGACTTAAAATCTTTTTGGAGAAAGTAAATAGAGAATTTCCATTCATATTCTTGATGAGATCAAGGCTCAAGGACACAGAAGGTAAGAAATGACACAATGTAATGACATTACCTCTGAACTAAAACTGTTTGAGAAATCAATATTTGAAGCTAAAATATCACATGCTTTTTGAATCTCATGATTTTTTTAAACAAAAACCCTTTCATCCTAAATTATCTCAGCACTTTTATTATTTTTAAGTGTGAAGTTAAGAAGCAGACATAATTTCAGAACAAAATACAAAAAAATTGTAAGATATTTTTAAAAGATGAGTGAACAGAAATGAAAGTCAATAGCATGTAATTTTAGAGGATTGGATTATTCTTTCAATAATGTCTGACAGTGAGGAACAAGAAAGGAGCAGAAACAGGCTTATCAGATGAAGGGATTGGTAAAGCAGGAACAGTGGAGGCTCAAGGGAGGCACCACAGAAATAGCTAACATGGGTTCAGGCTTGATAAGCACTTAGTTAAAATTTGGGAAAGTAAAAATTATGTAGCAGAGTTCATGATGAAGACATAAAGCCATTTCGGGAGATAAGTAAAAGGTAAGAGATACGGAGAGAAACTGGAGTAGAAATGTGGGTCATAAGTCTTGAAAAAGTCAAAGAGCTTATAAATCAGAGATAGAAAAGGGTAATTAACCTGAACAATAATTTGGCATCAAAGAGAAAGGAGACTTTCCCACTCTCAATGAGACAGGAGGAAATTGAGAAGAAATTGACTTTGCTAATGAGGACAATGGGAAAATGTTATCACCAAAGAAAAGTCAAGTTTTATGAAGGTGAGATGGTAGGAAAAAAAATTGAAAAAGATTTTGAAAAAGGCTATAAAAGATTTTGTCCAATTGTTTGAGTCCTTTCTCTGTTCATTTTGTGCTGCTGTTAACAGAATAACTGAGACTGGGTAATTTGTAATAAATAGAAACGTATTGGCTCACAGTTCTGGAAGCTGGAAGTCCAAGACCAGAGTACCAGCATCTGGCAAAGGCCTTCTTGCTGAATCATCACAAGAGCACACTCCCACGAACCCTTTTCATAATGGCATTAATCTATTCATGAGGATAGAGCCCTCATGACCTAAACATCTCCCATTAGGCCCCACCTTTTGATGCTGTTGCTTTAGGAATGAAGTTTCCAACACATGAATTCTGAGGGACACATTCAAACCATAGTAATTCCTGAGAAAATTCCTCTTACCAAAGTCAACAAACACTTCCATACTGCCAAATCCGATAGACACTTTGTCCTCATATTATTTGATCTCTTTCAACACAGTTGACTGCAACCTCCTTCTTTATACACGCTCTTCTCGTGGTTTCTGTGATATCAACCTCCCATGACTTTTTGGGAGCTTCTTCTTTGCTAGCCTCCAAAGGCTGTCATGTACAGTACTTTACCATCAATTACTTATCTTGCAAGCCACATTCTCTATAGGTGATTTCATCCAATCACATGCATTTAATACTATTTTATACGCTGAATACGCTCAAATTTTATCTCCGGTCTTGACCTCTCTCTGAGCTCCAGACTTCTCTGTCCAACTGTCTCCTCAAATATCCACTTGAATGTCTAATGGTGATTTCAAGGTCAAAATATCCAAAACAATATTCTTGCTTTCTAGCCCCTACCTCAGGAAATGATTACCACCATCCACCCAGGGAGTCTAGGAGTCATCTTTTTGTTTTAATGTGTAAATATGTTTATTAAAAAATTAATGGAAATGAATGCATAACCTTTTTTTTTTGGGTGGCTGGCTAGCACAAGGATTTGAACCTTTAACTTTGGTGTTATCAACACCACACTCTAACCCATTGAGCTACCAGCCAACCCCAGGAATCATCTTTGATTTCTCTGTATCCCTCACTGTCACCACCCCACCTCATTTCTAAGCCGACATTAACGTGTGTTGGCTCTACTCCTAGTTCAGATGCTAATCCGTTCCCTTCTTTTCATCCCTATTGCTATGTCCCAGTCCATGGTACCATCAGCTCTCGCCTACTGCAATAGAATCTTAGGTTGAGTTCTCCAGAAACAGACCCTGACATGAGGAGAATGCACATGAGAGTGACTTACTATGAAGTGTAACTGACAGGGGAGTGGGAAAACATGACTGAGAGAGAACAGAGACTAAGCAGATGTGTGGTAGAAAGCAAAGTTCTACAGAGAGCAACTTTGGCTCAATGTCACAGGAAACTCTGAAAACAGAGCTGGTCCAAATCTCAGAATCACTTGATCAAGGGGCAAAGAAACAGGAATATTTATACCTCTGCAACTTTGGTTAAAGGATGCCCCAAGGGGGGGGGGGTATAAAATCCTGGGCACATCCGAGTGAGCAGACAGGTTCTAGCAGCTTGAGGTCTGTCATCCAACAAACAGATGCAGGTGCTGGCTATGGAGAGTGAAAGCACAGGATACACAAAAGAGGTAAACAAGGGGGTACAGACAGGTGTCTTAGTCCCTTCAGGCTGCTATAACAAAATAAGACTAGGTGATTTATAAACAATAGAAAGCTATTGCTCACAGTTCTGGAGGCTGGGAAGTCCAAGATCAAGGCACCAGCAGGTTCAGTGTCTGGTGAGGGTCCATTCCTTACATGGTGAAGGGAGACAAGGCAGCTCTCTGGGGCCTTTATTTTTTTCTTTTGCCACTAGCCAGTTTGGGGATGTGAACCCTGGACGTCAGTGTTATCAGCACCATGCTCTAACAAACTGAGTAACCTGCCAGACCTTTTCTTTATTTTTGTTTTTTGTTTTGAAGAGGACGCTTGTGGACACACTAATCCCATTCACGAGGGCAGAGCCCTCATGACTTAATCACCTCCCAAAGGCTTCACCTTCCAATATCATCGCCTTGGTGATTAGGGTGGGGGGAGGACAAATTGAGGGGGGGACAAAAACATTCAAATCATTGCAGCGGGTAACTGACAACTCCTGCTGCAGTATCCTAACCTGCGTCATGTGCTTTCACATTTATTCACTGTATTAGTTTCCCATGGCTGCTATAACAAAGTACCACGAACTGGGTGGTTTAAACAACAGAAATTCATTGTCGCACAATACTGTAGGTTACAAGTCCGAGATCAAGGTGTCGGCAGTATTGGTTTCTTTGGAGGCTGTGAGAGAGAATCTATTCCGTGTCTTTCTCCCATTTTCCAGTGATTTGCTGGCAATCTTTGGCATTGCTCGGCTTGTAAATGTATCACCACGATCTCTGCTTTCACCTTTATATGGTGTGTATTTCTATCTCTGTGTCCAAATTTCCTCTTTTTTTTGTAAGGACTCAGTCACATTGGATTAGAGCCCAACAGGGGTTTTGAAAGATTTGGGGGCCAATCAAAGGAAAAGACATGACCAAGAGAAAGGCAGTAACACAGAACAAGCTTTATTGGGTGACACTTGGACAGGGTTGTAAGACAGGGTAAGTCTCTCACAGCATGAGACTGTTGAAAGGCTTAGAGTGGCGAGAGGACCACCAACTGGAAGGGGAGGATGGCAAAGCAGCTCCTGGGAGAGAAGGGATCAGAAGGGGACTTTACATGTGTAGGTGATGTTGCTTAGCAGCATGGTGGGGAGTCTCTGAATCAGAAGGCTCTGAAGGGCCATTGCAGCTTGGGGTCATTACCAGAAGACTATCTTATCAATGGCCTGTAGATACTAGTGAAGTTTTACAGGTTCTAACTGGCTGGTAATTTGCTTGTTAGTGTAAAAATTTGAGTTAGGGCAGGCTTTTAAGCTAATAGGTCTCAGTCTGCAGTGAAGAAATAACCTAGAGGTCAGGACACAGAGGCCATTTGGGGCTTATCTTTATAACAGGCTCATTCTAATGACCCCATCTTTATTTGATCATCTGCAAAGACTGTTTCCAAACAAGGTCACATTCACCGATATTCAGATTTCAACATCTTTGTGTGGGGTAAGGGACAAAATTCAACCCACAACACTACCCAAAATATGTCCTCCACAAAGTAGTGGTAATGATCTTTTTTAAAGCATAAATTGAATCAGTCACTTCTGTGCTTAAAACTCTCTAATGATTTCCCATTGCTTTAGAGTAAAATGCCAAGTGTTAGCCAAAGACCACAGGCTCTGCATGACCTGGGTTTCTCTTTTCCTTCGCCTCCTATCATACCTCTCTAGGCTCTCTTTGTTTCTCTGCTTTAATCACATCAAGCTCATTACCTCTGGAACTTTGAACTTGCTGCTTCCTCTGCCTGGACTGTTCTTCCTTCCAAATCTTTCCACAGCTGTCTTCATCTCATCCTTCAGAATCCAGCTCAATCCTCATCTGTTAATGAGGCTTTCCCAAAAAGTCCTATCTGAAGTCACCCTCTTCTAGTTGTTCTCTATCACATAGGTAGCCTTTTTAGCATTTCTCGGTACCTGAAATGATTTTTGTCTTGCTTACCTTGCTGGTTACTATCTCCATACACACTGGAATGTAATCTCCACTAGAAAATAAATCTAGATATCCTCAGAACTTAGAACAACCATGTACATAATAGAGACTGAGATGAGTAAGTGGGGAGTAAAACAGAAAAGGGATGTTTGGGGCTAGGATATAAAAATAACGGTGATGAAGCATACACTTCAGAAGTAGCCTGAAAGCTTATGTTAGCGGCCAGAAAGAAGTTTGCTGATGAAGAAGAAAGGGAGTTTTCACTAACCTCAACATTACAAATGGAATATTTGATCTGGTGGTGTATCAGTGGGGGAAAGTGTCTATAGAATAGAAAGTAGTTGAAAAAGATGGATGTTTGGGCTATAGTAATAGCGAAGGTGATTCATTCTAATCAGTGTCACCAGATTGAGGTGGCTTCTTTCCAAAAAGCAAGGGCTTGTGGCATAAGTCAAGAATGGTGTTTCCTTAAATCAGTGCCTTCTCCTTAGATTTTCGTGTCCATGGAAGACATGATTTTAGGACAATTTTATTTTATAAAATTTCTGGAACTTTTCAGCACCCTCCTATATGTCATGTTGATTGATAATCTTCTGTTCCTCATTACTGAATAGCTGTAAATACTCCTCCAAAGAGATAGGTCCCTTTTTTAGATATAGCAAAAAGTGAGAAATGTGAAAGACAGTGTTCCACACCATAGTCAGTCTTAATTGGGAGAGGATCACCCAAAAACTGGAGAAGAAGGTTGACCCACAGATGATGTGTAGGGTAGAAAATAAGAACCTGAATTCCTGATGGTCCCAAAAGGGGAAAGAAAAGAACGACCAGAGGTTAGTCAGGACTGGGAAGCCGTATGCTGTGCAGCTTCCTTAAACTTAGGGAGCACTCCAGTCTTCACCTACACCTTCCTTAGCCAGAGAATTTCTTCTCTATCTTAGTGATACTCTTTGGTTTCTTAGGAGTGTAAGAAATTTGGTGTCTTCGACTTTGGCAAGGATAGACTGTCAAAACACTGAGACTGAAAATCCCCATTCTCAACCACTACTCTTTCTTTGTAAGAGTAGTTTTGTCATTACTAGAGAACTTCATGACTTAAGAACAACAATAACCTGTCAGTAAATAAAGAAAATAATTCATGCATCTCAAAGTGAATGCCAGGGTGAGATAATGACACTAACATGTCACATATGTTACACAAATGAAAGAATTTCTGGACAGTCTCACAAAGAGGAGACTACATGTATGTATAAATATATATAATGTGCATAATTAATACATATAATATATATTATATGCATATATAATATTTATTCTATTTATTATATAATTATATAAACATATAAATAAGTAAATTTGAATTGCTTTCCCAGGGCCAGGGTATATTGGTATATTGACAACTCAAATTCCATAATTTTAATTCCCAGATATAAATAAAATGAATTACACTTATTCTTTTTTTGCAGCCTGGAGATGAAATATATCCTAGAGATGAGAATGGCAAATGGTTATATCACAAGTTAGATTTGTGTGCCACTTGGGAGGTAAGTTCATGTGGGCCTCTTATTTTAAATGACTACATTTTTAAACTGATCTGATTATTTCTGTCATATTTATGAAAGATGCAGCCTTTACTCACTATGGAAAGTGATAGAACAGGCATTTCTAACCATAAGCACAGATACATGAAATCTCCACTTCTGGATGCTGAATAATTCTTGATTTTGTTTTGTTGGAAAAGAATGCCAAAGAAAAGTAAGAGGAAGGTGTGGAAGAAAAAAAGGAAGTAGGACCGGCCAGTTCTCAGTGGGTTAGAATACAATGTTAGAACATCAAGGTCAGGGGTTCAGATCCCTGCACCAACCAGCCACCAAAAAAAAAAAAAAAAGTAAAGGAAATATGTTCTAACATAGCAATAATTAAAAATATATAAATGAGATAAATTCACAATTTAAAAAAATTTTTAAAATTAATAATATGTCTAAAAGAAACAAAACTTAAAATAATACATGAAAACTGGAAAAATGCTTTTGGTTCCTTTTTCGAGCAAGCTGCTGGCTCCCTCCCCAAGATCACAAGAGTGGGAAACTGTGGGACAATAATAAGAAAACCCTTATGCTTTCATGGAGGGACGAGGGATATTTTGAACTGGTTTGTTTATGAAGTGGCAGCTTCCATGTAGAGTAGAAAGCAACCCAACCAGCCGTAAGAGGATAATATAGGAGAAAAACTACTGAAACTCCTGCCATAGCCTGGGGACACATGTTGCCAGCTCCACACGTAAGGAAACTTAATATTCATGTTCAGGTGTCTTCATGAATCCATTCAGAGCAGCATTGAAATCCTGCACTTGTGAGAAGCTGAATCAAACATAAGTTACTTACTGGCCTCTGGTGGTTGTTCCGTGCTTCTACCATTCCAAACTCCAAAGGCTGGGAAATTACACTCTGATGATTATCTCTTTTTATACACTTACCCCTGGAGGTAACAGCTGAAGCTCCGAACCGTGGAGTTGTTTTGACAGGTTAGGAGGCACTGACTAGGTTTTCTGGTGCCTGGGGCTCTCCATCCAAGATACCATATGCTTACTCCTGACTTCGATGGAGTAGATCAAGTTTGGGGTCTTGCATTCCCTCTAAGGGACTACCTGACAGGGTAGCCAGTATCCCCAGGAGAAAATGAGTTTACAACCCAAAATAACAAGGTATTTCTTTCACAAGAAGATAACATTATTTCAATTACAGATCCCAGTGTAAATAGAGCAGAGAACCAAGAACTTCTAAATAAGCAAGCTAATATATCAAAGGACATAAGAAAAGATATTAGCAATAAGAAAAAAGAATAAGAAAACTTTTTTCAAAAATAAGCAAAAATAATAATTTGGGAAAATGAATAACACAATGCAATAGATTGGGATAATAGCAGAATGGCTATAGATAAAGAAAAAAATATCAAATTGAGAAACCAGAATGAGGAAATCTCTTAATATGAAGAAGGAAAGGACAAGAAAAAATTTTAAATATGAAAGAAAAGCTTAGAGATGTAAAGGATAAAATTAGAATTTCCAGTATCCACACAATAGGAGTCTAAGAAAACAGAAGAAAAAAGAAAAGAGGTAATTGAAAAAACAAAGATATTGAAAGGATCATGGAGTACAGAAAAGGAAAGATAAGGAAACACACACCTAGATGCATTATAATAAAATTTCAGAATATCAAACATAAACAAAAAACACTAAAACTTCCAGAGTATAGCAAACAAGCCAATAAAGGTGGCAAAATGGAATAATAAAAAATAATCAATCCAAGAGAAAGCAGGAAAAGAAAAAAGGAGAAAAAATAAACAGTTGGGAAAAATAGAAAACAAATAGCAAAATAGGAGATTTAAATTCAGTGCTATAAATAATACAGCATTTGTTAGTAGTCCAAGCACCTCAATTAAAAGGCAGAGGTTGTCGGAATGGAGAAAAACTAAATCCCACTATATATGACATACAAGAAACTCATTTTAAATAAAAAGTCACAAAAAGGTTAAAATCAAAAGCAAAAAAATTTTTAAAGGTAAAAGGGTAGAAAAAGATATACTAGGTCAACGCTAATCAAATGAAAGCTGGAGTGGCTATTTTAATATTAACAAAGACTTCAGAGCAAAGAGTATTACCAGGGATAAAGAAGGTTATTTTATGATGATAAACAGTCAATCTTAAACACCTGTGCACCTAATAACAGAGCTTCAAAATATATGAAGAATAAATTTAGAGAACTGAACAGAGAAAGAGAATAATCCACATTTATAGTCAGAGATTTCAAAACCTCTCTCTCGATAATTGAGATGATAAGGATACAGAAAATCTATAGGACGTAGGAGATTTAAACATTTTTAACCTTCCTGACCTAATTGTTATTTATAGAACACTGCGAAAATATAACAAAATGCTATTTTTCACGTGCACATGGAACACTGAACAAGATAGGTCATTTTGTGAGACATAAAACAAATCTCAGTAAGTTTTAAAATATTCTAATTATGCAAAGTATGCTTTCTGATCAAACTGGAATTGAATTTGCCTCTCTCTCGATAATTGAGATGATAAGGATACAGAAAATCTATAGGACGTAGGAGATTTAAACATTTTCAACCTTCCTGACCTAATTGTTATTTATAGAACACTGCGAAAATATAACAAAATGCTATTTTTCAAGTGCACATGGAACACTGAACAAGATAGGTCATTTTGTGAGACATAAAACAAATCTCAATAAGTTTTAAAATATTCTAATTATGCAAAGTATGCTTTCTGATCAAACTGGAATTGAATTTGAAATCAATAAGAAAAAGATGCCCAAGAAAACACCAAATATTTGGAAAGTAAGAAGCACACATGTAAATAAATCCTAAGACAAAAAAATAAGTAAAATCTATATCTGTATGTAATCTAGATACTAGCAACACACATTGGAAATCAAATTTTTAAAAACAATATTAAATATTAAATAACTTAGAGATAAATTTAATAAAACCTATGCAAGGCCTATGCAGTAAAAGCTGCAACATATTACTGAGAGAAATCAAAGAAGATCTAAATGAACGTAGAGATGTACTATGTCCCTTGATGAGAATATTCAGTAAAGTTAAGATATTAATTCTCCCTCAAACCATCTATAGAGTCAATGTAATCCCAGTCAAAATCCCAATAAAAATTGAAAAGCTAATTCTAAAATTTATATGTAAGTGTAAATAATCTATAATAGCCAAAACAACTTTGAAAACAAAGAGGGATAAATTTGGAGGACTTATACTAATTTTGAGAATGGTTATACAACTCCAGGAATTATGGCAGTGCCAGATTAGCATAAAGATGGAAATATAGATCAATGGAACAGAATAGAGAGTGCTAAAATAGACCCATATGTGCATACAATTGGTTGTTTTTCAACAGAAGTGCCAAGGCAATTCAGCAGTGGAGGGATAATCTTCCCAATGGTGTATTGAAACTGGCTCATACCAATTTGCAAAAACTGATTGTGCTAGTCTCTACCTAACTCCACATTTGGTGATGTCACATTATTAGTTTGAGTGAAGCTTGGTGTGTGTAGTTACACCACAGAAATTGACAAACACTTCAAATTGGGGATTTTTTTTTTTCCTGGATAGCTGGTTGTTAAGCAGCTACCAGCATTCCATTGGAGATGTTCATGACCTTGACTGTGGTGATGATTTTACTAGTGTATACATATGCATACATTAAAATTCATTAAAATGAACATTTCAATACGTGGTTTATTGTACATCAATTATAACTCAATAAATACGTAAAAAAGAAAATATGAAGCTTCCAGAGACAAAGAGCTAGTCACATACAATGAAATTGGCATCAGTTTTGTTTTGATCTGTTTTTATTTTTTATTATCAGCAATATTGGCTGCAAAAAGATAACAGAATGGAATAGCATTTTCAAAGTGCTGAAGAATAAAGAACATTGACCTTGCACTTTTAAAGTATTTACTATCTATAAAAACATTTAAGATCAAATAACAAGAGGAAGATGTACCCATAATAAACTATGATTAAAACATTTATATAATTATAATATATAATAATATATATAGTTAGTTAATTGTATCTATACAATTACTATACTAGTAACATCACAGCTGTTGCGGGTAGATCAAGGAATGTGTGAACATGCTAAGTTCTTGTCTTTATTAGGGAAAAACATAAATATACATACAAACTTTTTTAAAGTAAGAAGGTTGAAAAGAAACATAGAAAAAGCGGGATAAGCTGAAAAAAGAACTTAAGATGGTAGAAACAGTCCAAATATAGTATATTTATATTTGCAATAAAAGTAGATAAGTTAAACTCACCTAATAAAAGACAGATTGGTAGATAAAATTAAAACGAGACACCTAAGCGTAAAGACATGTAAAAGTTAAAATTTAAAGAATGGAGAAAAGACATATCTGTCTAATACTTATCATAAAAGGCTGGTATAATTATATTAATATCAGATAACAGTTTTTAAAATAAAACCATTTTTAGGAATAGAAAGGATTGTACATAAAGATAAAAGATTCAATTTACTAATAAGATATACCAATTTTAAATACATATGCACCAAGTAAAATATTTTTAAAACACATAAAACAAAGAATTAATAGAATACAGAAAGACATTGATAAACTCACCATTATGGTAGGAGGTTTCTGACCTATTTCTATAACTGAGAAGCCAAGAAAAGCTAGACGTGATTTTGTATACATTGTGTGTATACATACACATGTATATAAGGGAGACAGAGAGATCCCAAAATAGGGGAATATATCACACCAAAACGTTTATAAAAAACGATCAGGTACTATGCCATAAAGAGAGACTCAACAAATTTCAAGCAATAGCATCATTATTAACGTGCTGCTATGAATGGTGAAAATACAAAGAGAAGATACGATGGACAATATTTCCCAGACTCATTCAATCATAGAATTTGGGCCTCTCCGCACCTCACCCCTCCGCACTTTTTTTTCTTCACAGAATGCCTATTAACATACCCAGGGTCTTTCCTTTTTAAAGAATTCACAGTCATCCTTCTAAATATTTATTCTTGTTTCTTGTGGGGTTTCTTTCTCGACCTGTTGGCATTTATTCTACAGGCTTTGGAAGCCTGCAAAGATGCTGGTTTGGTGAAATCCCTCGGAGTATCCAATTTCAACCGCAGGCAGCTGGAGCTCATCCTGAAAAAACCAGGACTCAAACACAAGCCAGTCAGCAACCAGGTACAGCTTAACAGCTGTCACGTGAGGGGGTTGGGGATGGGGTGGGGGGCAAGCTCCAATGTAACATTTATTAATAAAAAAAGCCTGGGCTAGGAGTTGGGAAGTTTTGTGTTTGCTCCACGTAAATCTGATCATAAGACCCTGAGCAAGTCTTTTGACTTCTCTCAATTTGTTTCTTAAGAAAAAAGATTTGCAAGTTTAAATCCAGATGAAAATAACCAAAAAGTTTTTCTGAAGAAGAGAAACAATGATGGGGGACAAGAGCTGCCAGACATTAGGACAGGATTTAGAGTACTTAAAATAATGTAAAGGTAGCGCAAGACCCAACATACAAATAAACGAAAAACAACAGATATCTTTAGGAACAGGCCCAAGTAAAATAAAAACTTAATATAAAATAAAGTAGCACAAACTAATAACCAAGGGAGGGATTTTTCAGTAAATAGTGTAAGAAAAAATGGCTAGTTATGTAGAAGCAAACATAGACCTTTGCCTCATATCATACTCCAGAGTTAATGTCTCTTTGATCAGGAGAAAGAGAAAAGCATTTGTAAATACAGCAAACGAATTTTAGTTTTCTGGAGCTATGGATAGAAAGAGAAAAAGCCATGGAAAAATCATAAAGAAAACTTTGATAAATTTGTCTCTTTTTTTCTTTCTTTCTTTCTTTTTTCTTTTTTTTTTTTGCAGTGGGTGGCACTGGGATTCGAACCCTCACCTTGTTATAATAACACACTTTGATAAATTTAATAGTATAAAAATGATAAACTCTAAAAACACTAGAACAAGTAAAGAGCAACAAAAAATAGTTATGTTTTAAAAAATATAATAGGAAAAAGGGGCTCCTATTCTTCCTTATGAATTAGAAGCCTAATACAAATCAATGAAAAAAAAATCAATGAAAAAAACACTAAGGCTCAACAGAAAAATGAGCAAAAGAAATGAACAGAAATTTACAGAAGACAAATTGCAAGACTGGTAAACATGAAAAATGTGCAACTTACTATGAATTAGAGAAACAAATCTAAGTGTGATTTTGTATTGCATATCAAATTAGCAAAGATTTTATGTTTTAATATAATGCTCCATGTAAGCAAGTGATGATGTATTGGTAAGTACAAATTGGATCGGCCTTACTGAAAAGAAATTTGAAAATATATATGAAGAGCCCTAAAAAGTGTTCACTGTATTCTATTTCTAGGAATCCATCCTAATAAAAAAAATCAGGATGCCCATATAGACTTACATGTGTGTTTATCACAGCATTTTTATAATGGGGAAAAAAAATGGAAACAACATAATATGAAAGATTAGGGGAATTATTAAATTATAAGACATTCATAGTACTTGAAACCTCAATAAAAGATGTTCTTAAATCATTTTTTTTTTTTGTCTTTTGTCTTTTTCCGTGTCCGGCAACGGATCGCAACCCTTAGTGTTGCCCCCGTACCAGACCGGGGACCGGCAACGGGATCGCAACCCTCGGTGTTGCTCCCGCGCCTCGCTCAGCCAGTGAGCGGGAACCGGTCTGTATGTGGGATCTGAACCCTCGGGCGGGAGCACCGCCGCGCTTCCCAAGCGGCGCACTATCCAGTGCGCCACCGGGCCGGCCCTTCTTAAATCATTTTTGAGGAAAGAGAAATGAACATGATAGGAAGAAGACCAGGATATAAAATGCAGTGTACAGTATAGAGGCGATTATATTATGAAAATGGATTTTATTGAAGAACGTTTTTTAAAACTGTGTAAAACTGCATTAAACTACAAAGCTTTAATTTTGTGCTCTGCTCTCCAATTCAACTCCATAGGTTGAGTGCCACCCATATTTCACCCAGCAAAAACTCTTGAAATTTTGCCAACAACATGACATTGTCATTATTGCATACAGCCCTTTGGGGACCTGTAGGAATCCAAGATGGTAAGTAATACTGTAGGTCTCTTCAGGAACTATATCCTTTGGTGTACAGTATGAGACTAATGTGAATTACTTGATTGGAGTGAGTATTTTTTTCTGTGCGATCTTAGGAAAGTAACTTAACCTCTTAAAGTCATTATTCATATATGTGAATTAGAGCTAATAATATCTTCTTCCTCACTGAGGTGAAGGAATATATTACATTTCATACATTATATGTATAAATCACTTCTCAGTGCCTGACTTATTGGAAATGCTCGATAAATTTTAGTTTAATTCCAAGAGTTGTGCCCCTATTTCTGCCACTTGTCTTCCTACCATTCCCAAATGCCTACTTCCAACCCAGCTCTCTCCAAAAGAGTTATCAAAAAAATATTATTTACTCTCTGAAAGAGGCAGCTCCATAAACTTGTCTCTCTTGATCTTCCCATACTAAGAGTAACTTCATTCAGTGAGTGCTCTAAACTCAGAGAAATTGGCTACAGATGACCTGACATGTCCTGGCAGGTAACCAGGTGAATGGGAAGACAGAGGAGAAGGGTGATTAACTCTCATCACTCGAGCTAAATATGACTCATGTTTTGATTTTTTAAAAGGGTGAATGTTTCTTCTCCACCTTTGCTAAAGGATGCATATCTAAACTCAGTGGGGAAAAAGTACAATAAGACCGCAGCTCAAGTTGTTTTGCGTTTCAACATCCAGCGAGGGGTGGTCGTCATTCCTAAAAGCTTTAATCCTGAAAGGATCAAAGAAAATTTTCAGGTAAGAGAATCGCTTTTGGAAATATAAAACAAAAGGTATGTTCGTTGTTTGCTTTTAGAGAACGTTCTGTTTGGCTTAATAAGAAACTTGTAATGCTTTTGTATTTTATTTTATTCCAGCTCCCCAACCCACCCTGTTTGTATCTGGATTTACGAGTGATTTTAGCTGAATTTGAGATGATTCCTAGTGCTTCAGGGATTGCTTTGCTGCTTGTACATTACCCAGCTCCCTTGTACCTTGTTTCTTATCTATTGACTCTTGACACTATGCACTCACTTCTCCACCTGCACTAACAGAAATGGAACGTATAAAATTTGAAATTCATAGTAGTAAACTTTCCACCTTCTTACTGGCTCTGGTAGAAGTTGGGGTCGAATTTGAAAATTATTGAAGAGGATCAATCAGACTTCATGAATGCTAATTGCTTTTATTCCCTCCATGAGCAATCTGTGGCCAGCATTATAACTTCCAGGTGAGAAGAGAAGCCATTAAACAACGGAGTGATTAGTTTACTCTGCTACAACTAAAGACAAAACTGCTAGGTAAATACAGGGATTTGTATTATCTTTTAATTCCATTTTTCCACAAAATTTTTGAAGTACCCTCCTACAACCACAGAAAAGTACCTTTTAAAATCAATCAATTATCCATTAATTAATAGTCTAAATTCCAAAAGTAAATTGTTCGGCCCTTTCATTTACTATTGCTAGAAATATATTATTCTTTTTTTTTTT